CGGATGACGTACTCAGGAGCCCCGCGGAGGGCACAAGAGAGGATGACGGTGCTGCCGATGCCTGTTTTGAGCTTCTTTGGTGTGAGGGTCACACGCAGCGGGTCTGTGCGAGAAAGAGGGAGAGCGGGTGAGGTGCTGGCGGTGCCGGGCAGTGCAGCGGGAGGCACCTCGGTGTCACCGTGCTCTCTCTGCCTTCCCTGCCCTGGAAGCGCCAGCCCAACTACGTGTAAAACGTCACTGCACAACAGGCGGCTGGGCCCCACGCTGTCCTTGCTGCCAACAGCCCCTGCTTTTAACACTGACCCCCGGTGGGGGGGACCTGCAGAGCAGGCGCTGCTGGGGAGGTGGCAGGACGGCTGGAACAGGATCCCTGTCGCTGAGCTGGGGACAAGCCAGAGTGTGTTCCAGCAGGCTGCCAGCACCCGGTCAGCGATGCATTCACCAGTGCTGCTGCAGGTGAGGCGGCAGCTCCAGCGCCACCGGGATCCCAGTGACAGGAGGAACCCCCAAGTACAAAACACGTGATAAATACGCGACCTGCCCAGATGGTATTTACTGTTGGGCTGGAGCTTATTTTATGTAAATCAACAAAGCAAAGCGCAGAGGCACCCAGCACAAACCGACGCTGCCATCCAGCAATATATATCCCCTGGAATTGCTCTGACTTTTCCCGAGGCCCGTCTCCCTGCTCCGACTGAAGCAGTAAATCAGGCGATGTCTGCAGAAGCGCTGCTGAAGCATAAGCCTCCTGCGAGCACTACGAGCGCCACATCAGACACGCCGTGTCGCAAAACCGCAGCTTCCAGCGTGCGACACATCACGCTGGAATAGAAGGCTTAGGAATTTATACGGCTGCATAAAACCTTTAAAGCTTTACATTCATAAACGTACATTCATCTGTTTAAGAAGGGAGCAGGACAGCAGTCACCCCGCCGGCTCTCACCTATGACCGTGAGGGTCCCCGTGACCTCTGCGGACCCGAAGGTGTTGGTCACCTCGCAGATGTAGGTCCCACTGTCCTCCACGCGCAGGTCGCTGATGGTCAGACCCGTGATGCGCTTGGTCCAGCGGCTGTCAGGGGGGAGCGGGCGCCCGTCCTTGATCCACCGGACAGCTGGGTTGGGGTAGCCCGAGGCGATGCAGGGCAGCTCCACCAGCCTGCCCGCCTTCACCTCCCGGGACTGGAAGCTGTCTAGAAAAAAAAAATGGACTCTGCCGGATCTGGGGTCGGAGAGGAAACGGGCTCAGCCGGCGAAGAGGAGGCGGCGAGGCTTCTCCCCGCAGGGACACCAGGAGAGCCCCTGGCACGGTGACATTGGCACCATTGTGAACCCTCGGCATTAGCCACGAGTGGCTCTCCCCACCAACCAGCATCTCTGCCGGGCAGGAGCACAGGGGCCAGCCATGTCCTCTGCTGGGCACGGGGCAGGGAGGGGTGGCCTGTCCCACCCAGCCCTCCAGCAGG